TTCATGCATACAGAGATAAAGATCCAGGAAGAGGCAGGGTGCCAGTCATTGTCAGTTGAAGCACATGCAGGTACCTGTGGCAGAGATCCAAAGAAACAAAAACCCATCCAGCGTTGCAGCATGGAGAGTTAAGAGAGTTGTTTCCTTCATGCAAATGTATTCTGACAGGTAGAAGCTGCAGTAGCCCATACAATTATAATAAAAATAATATACAATATAGTATGTGCCTGCACCAACACATGATCAGCAACAGAATCATTTTGTGTACAAGCCATTGTTCCAATGTCAAACCTCGGGGTAGCGCTACGTTGAGCATTGCACCAAGCTCAGATTGTGAGTTCAATCAATTTCATCTCTGACCTTGTTTGTTGGTGACCTTTCAATGCACCCTTGTGATGAAAGCTTCCCATGGCATGACCAGTAACCAGCGATGGACGAAAAGAATGAAAAAGGTTTCATGCACCCAAACTCTTCTTCATCGTCAGGATCTTACATGTCTTCCTCTCAGAAGGAGGATGATTGGCAGTGCCTTCTTCTGTTTTAAATTGACATACATAATTCATAAAGGCTGAGATCCTTGTTTTGCCTTTCAAATGTCCCGGGGCTTTCTTGCTACTTGGCGTATAGTGACATGACTATGCTACCCATTTCCCATTTTTTATGCTCTACCTTGTGGTAAGCGCAGCTCTTCCCGTGTCCAACACAAATAGGGGACCGTTAGTAGTGTTGTATACTGCAAAGTAATAACACTGTTTAAAGCAAGTATTCCCTAAAATCATGACAACCAGGGGGAAATAAATCAATTTGTCAAGCACCAGTAAATGCTATGTTAGACCTACTTATTCCACATAGTGGCAACGTCATTGGGTGCCCATTCAGAGCTGAATATGTAAATGATGTGCTCAATGCTAAAGAAGCCCGAAAGCTACAGATTTGAGATGAGTGAGACAGCCTGCCTCTTTGTATCTTTATGTCTGAATAGAGGGAACGTCTTCAGACTAGACCTTGAAGCTGCCAGGAAGTTCACGCTTGAAAATCTTAGGTTGCACTCATAGGGGCTGAGAACAAAAATAGAAAAATAGAAAGAAAAGAATATGTGTCCAAACAAATGCCCGCCTGAATGCTGATCACCGAAATATTCAAATCAGTTCAAATGTATAGTCATGTAGTGTAAAGATGGTGAAATCAGAATGATATGATGCATGAGACACTACCTCTCAAAATGTATGCAGAAACCACTACAGCCAGCATGTCTTTTTTCCAGTTTAAATGTTGAAATACCAGAACTGAAATGCTGATTGATTGATAAAAATGTGAAATATTACAATTTAGATGTGCATTTATATTATTATTATTATGATTATATGTTAGACTCTAAACTAGCAGGCAGAAGGAGGATTTCATTGGTGGGTAGACGGGTCAAAAGAGTCTGGGGGAGAGATTTTAAGCGATTAGTGATGGAGAGATCACAGACTGAAATAAGAATTGGCCATGTGATGTTTTCACAGTGTATAAGCCTCAACTTAACATCATTCATTCCCACCCAAACCACGTATTTTTTTAGAACATTTGGAAAATAAATTGAAGTGTCTATTTTGTATTTTTGTTAGACTGACCAGATGTTATCCATATACATGTTTGGCTGTCTCCACTGTCAGCAGACTATTCAGTGTGAGGAATTAATAACGCCCTAATGCTGAGAGGCACAAAGAGAGGCTGATGGCATTCCTAATGAGCTAGCTGTACCTTGCAACTACATGGATGGCCGGTGAATATCAATAGCACCTTTTGTTCACGGAAACTGACGTAAAGAGCACTTTTGGCTCAATGATTTTGTCCAACAAGCCATGTCAGACTGTCTGATGTGTACGTGTCTTTCAACATTGCATGGTATTTTTGGAGCTGTACTGAATTTTTAAAATCATAGGCAAAATGTCAAACTCGTATAAAAATATCTCGCTGTATCTGTAGCGTTTTCTCTTCTTTTTACCAAATGCACTCACAGACAGGCAACCATGCACAAATAAGAGACACACACTCACGCACATGCACAAGGCTAGATTTATGCCCTGACAATTTGACAGAATCCACTGAAACGTTTAGGACTTAATATCGGTTAATTAATTTCACTGGACCTGGACAGGGAGCTGTGAGCAGAGCTGAGGTGGACTGGGGTGTGTGACGGGAGATGAGGTGGCAGTGGCAGAGATGGTGTGTGTGTGTGTGTGTGTGTGTGTGTGTGTGTGTGTGTGTGTGTGTGTGTGTGTGTGTGTGTGTGTGTCTGGGGGCTGGGGGGCAGCAGCATCAGGGTTGGTGAAGGGTTTAAACTGAAAGGGGAATGAGGGGAGTAATCCACTGAGTGCCTATAATGTAATGAGTCAGCCTCGCTTAATGGAGTCCATTTGAAGAGGACGGAGGTATGGAAAGAAGGGAGGTGTTGGTTCTGAAGGTGCATAAATGTAGCTGAAGGAAAGGCTGGTTTGGAGGACTGATTTTTTTGAAAATTCAAGTCCTGCTACCTATATTAACACTAGTCCAGATAAACATGATCTCAGCAGCTACTTTATATGAATACATGACTACAGCTATACAATTGCTTAATGTTGCACTGCATCATGAAAGCATGTTACGGTATAGCCAAAAGCTACAAATAACACTATTTTTTTTAATCTAAAACAGACCAGGTGTTAATGCTTTCAGAGTGCTTTAACTTAGCCCCGTGGTTCAGGATAATTCCTGAACTGCCAAGCTGCATTAGCCCAGACTGTATCCATTTGACTTTGAAATCTGTGCTTACCCACACACACACACACACACACACACACAAACACACACTATTCTGCCTACCCAACCAGCATATATCTGCATTTCATTGACACAGTTGGTCCTTTTAAAAAAAAAATCCTGTCCTAAATTCTCTTATTTTCCTTCAAAAATGATTTCTCCAATCAGCATAACTTAAATTATGCGTTTAATAAATGTAAAAAGGATACTGGGGACACGTTCTTTTGGGTTGCTTGTACCCAAGACTGTCTTATTTCTAAATCCACTTTGTTGTCTTGTCCTGCTTTGCTACTCTGGGACATAATTTGGAGTTTATTTGGAAGCACTATTAGAGTATAATCTGCTTCCTGTTTGCACCTGCTTCACTTCCCTTTCACTTACATTTGAAGGGTCAGTTCATCAAATTAAGAAAATTTCTCACCTGTGGTATCAAATCATGCAGCTATTTTTGTTTTATGTGGTTTCAAGGTTTTGAGATTACTGCATCAAAAAAAATTCTCAGGGACTATTTGTCCTATGGAAAATTGGATGAACAGATTTTTTTAAAGAAGTGGATCTCTATTGTATTTTGTCAAGTGCTTAATTTAACATATCTTAATTTAACCATCACTGGTTAAGATTAAAAATAAAATGTCAAGGAAGTGCTTGAAAGTGCAGTCATGACACTTGCTCTGCTTCCAACATCTCCTTAAGAGTCATGGGTTGTATTATTCATGTCTTCCGTGTTAGTGTCATATCTGCAGCTCCTGCTGTTGTTGTGTGTTTCTTGTCGCCTGTGTGTACTGATCTGATGATCTGACACTGCCAGGCTGCGGTGTTTAATCCAGGTCAGCTGCCATCTTACCCTGCTGTTTTCAAGGCCTGTTAGAAATCTCTTAATTGGCCTCCTTTCTAAGGCGAATAAGTGTGTGATTTAAAGTTAGGGAGACAGAGTGTCACTAGAGCCTCATCTGTTTATTTGGCATCATTTTAAGGTTTGGGGGAGGGAGCACCAGACCCCACACATAGCCAGATGTGACGAGTGCTCCTGGCCGTGATGCAAGTGACATGGCACTGGAGAGAGGCCTATTTGCTCCAGCTGTGGTACCAAAGGTTGATCACAAAAGCATCTGTGGTTTTGTAATATTCAGCGTGGTTTGTGTGTCATTCATACTTGCACGCCTTTCTAAACATGGAAATGGACTCTTTTTATTTTTCTGACAGTCACAGCGAGCTTTACAGTACAAGTTGTGGGCAGGAAGCGTACTCTTGACTACATTAAATGCTTCACACATCTGTAAAAAGCAGTTGTCGCAGATGCTTCACAGCACACATTTTGGAGGGTCTTTGCAGCAAATGGGTTGGGGTAGCTGGAGGCTCAGGTGGTCACCATGTGAGGATGATTACAGAGGGCTAGCAGTGGGCTGCCAAACTAACTGTGCTGTAGGCTTGGAGGCACACTTTTATTATTATTATTATTATTATTTTAATCCAGTAATAAATTATTGTTTTGAAAGGTCGGTCCAGTAACCGGAACTACACTCATACCAAAGACACAATCCAAATAGAAACTACTTTCTTTTGTATTTCTATATCATCATAGTACATTGTTTCTGGTAAGACATTTTGCAGCTTAGCTTTTCAAGAACAAATTGCCAATGCTTTGAGAACCACAAATAATATTTCTTTCAGATTCACTGAATTGGAGTGAAAATCAGAAAACCATTTTTTGTGACTAGTGTGATAGTATCCTTTAAATGTCAAAAATTAGGTGAATATCAAGTCAAAAATACAAAAAAAACCAGCCAGAAAATGCCCTTTACAACACAAGCAATAACCATTCTGTAGTTTGACTTAATTTTAGTGGTCAATCATTTCGGTCATCAACCCCCAATTTTCTGAGCTGTGCTCACTGCAAGACGACATTGTTTACTGTATATTATTGATCAGCATCCTCTTATGGAAGGAAACAGCAACTTTTTACAGTGTGCGAGGACATAAGTATATCTTTTTAAACAATCTCAAACAATAATCTGTTCTTGGTATATCTGAAGGTCACAGTGCTGAGAGTTTGTATAGCTAATGTTTTTTCTCTGTCTCCTTTTCTTCCCTCTTCTCTTTTCTGTATTTTATTTACTCTTCTACAACCCTCCCCTTGTGTCATCTACCCCAAATGTATCCTCTACATCACATTCTCCTTCTGTCTTTACCTCTATTCTCTCTGTCCGTCTAAACAGGTCCCCCACCAGTTGGGTGCGCTGACCTTCTACCGCTATGAACAGCCTATCGTAGACTACTGCCAGGCCCATCAGCCCCTGCGGCTCAACATGGGCTATGAGGGACCCCCACAGGGCCTGGAGGGCCTGGAGGACCTGGGGCCGTGTGATAGGGGCACTATACAGACAGTGGCGCTGCCTGCCGTGCCCTCAGCTGCCAGCATAGGTGCCCCTGTGCCAGGGCCTCGCTCTCCTCCACCATCTCTCAGACCACCAACCGAAGGCCCCAGCAGCGGTCCTTTTCCTCCTGCCGAGCGCACCGGCACACTCAAATTTGGACGCTAGGGAGCCGAGCCTGGTGATTAGACGTGGGGCTAGGGCCTCTGATTCACCGTAACTTTAAAATTAAGGGGCAGGCGAGCTGGTTATTCAGTGGGGCCTTGTTTTCAGAACATGAGTGTGTGAACTAGAGGACAACATTTTCTAATTCTGCCTGGAGGGATTTGGCATCAGAACCTCACAGTTTCACCAATATACAGTAGAGAGGGAGACTCTGATTGCATTTTGATTTCTTTTTCAAACCACCTCATAGAAAACTCCTTGCTACTGAATCATGGGCAGTAATTGAGTATATGACAAAAAGTACTATCTTGTTTCCAAATCTGGTCTTTGCCATATCCCATAACAACGTCATGGGTTACCTGTTCACCACGTAACAGCAGTCCACTTGCATTAAGTCAGGAGTGAAAGGGAAAGTGCAATAAACACGGGTTCTTGATCACAAAAGGTCAGAGCTATAACATAAAAGAGATCAAGCTGGACATCATGTGAAGAGCAAGCGGCTTCTTACTGTGATTATTATTAAAATATCTGGTCTGTAGTTAACAAAAGCAAATCCATATCATTATTTCATAAAGATGAGTAATTTCAAGACAGGTAATTAAATAGAATTTATCTTTCTTTTGTTTTACTTTCTTTTGTCTCTTTAGATGTGGGTTCTCATGCTGAATTCTATTAATGTGCATGTCAAACCAAAGAGTTATAGTTTTGTTCTTTTAATGCACATAAGCTGCTTTAGCTGAGGGTATTCTTAAAATGCCAGTTGGTCAACTAAACTAGCCTCTCTGCCGACTTTACATTCACAATTACAACCAAATCCCCTGGTGGTTTCAGATGTACTGGGTTTTTCTTTACAGATTAGTGATCATGCGATACATAGGGCCTACGAGAAGTGAGGTAATGAAACTGAAAGTTTGAAGATATTTATCATAAAGTATTTTACCTTGTCCTCCCAACATCACTTCAGGTGTTATCCATGATCTTGGTTATGCTATGAACTACGACAACCACAGAATCACTTTAGAGGAGATATTATGGTATGTTCCATAAATTTCTTTATCATACAGGGGCCCTTTTCACAGCAGAAAGGCAGGTGTTTGTATATGATTATATCCCAGCTGAATGATTCACTATGCTTTAAAGAGGTAATCATGGGGAATTTATGTGGTAAAATTAGTACATTTTAATGCAAAGTCTTGTACATATTCTTAAAAAAGGTCCACTTTACTGAAGGTTGAACCACTCTCACTGCCCCGAACAGTCATTTAAAACATTGATGAGTCAATGTTTGACTTTCATCACACTGGACAATTTCGAGAGCGCGATCTTGCTGGATTGGCAAACCTCTGGCCATGTGCTCCCCTCTCCCCTCCAGCACACGAACAACAGTGCCTAGTGGGGCATGTTGAAGCAGCACGTTGACTTCTCTTTGACCTGCATATGAACCCATGGGCTGTACTGGGAATATTGCCTGACATCTTTTTTTTTTTCCAGAAAGCGTGTCTGCACTCGGTAACCCTTTGGCCACTGCTACTCAATGACTTATGGAGCTGATGAGGACTTCAGATACGGCTGAGATAGCCTTTCAATATCATCTCCGGCTTAATCCAAGCAGTGCACCGGGGTTGTTTTCTACATGTCAGTGGTCATACTCTTGGGAATTGTGGAATTGTGCTTGGTCCTCCCACAACCCAACTGACTGATTTACAGATGAAACTGCAAGGGGCCAAAATATCCCACGAAAGTGGGTGTATCATCAAGATAAGAGAATAAATAAGGAATTATTTTTTTGTTTTGTTTTGTCATTTTTTTGTTTTGGCTTGGAGCATAAGAGACAGTTTTTGAGGTGTTCAAAGATGATGTCAAGAAAATTCTATAAGACTAATCAAAGGACAAAATCGAATAGAACTTATTTATCGTGTAAATAGTGAATCTTCAAAGATGAAAAAAAAGTATGAACTATGAACTTCTTCTGAAACACAAACTGCTTGTGAACAGAAGAGGAGCCTTACTCACTTTCCAGTGGGAATCTGTTACCAAGATGACTCGGTGAAGAGGTTCCTACTGTAACGCTCCTGTTGTTTCAATGATAAATATTTTTCTATCTGCTCCCGTCACTATTCCACCATTAAACACAAATTATGTTACTGAAGTTATTTCTCAAATCCAATCATTTTACTGAATCACACAAAGAAGGGAAGACTGGGAGCCCTGTTATTGTGATGTACTTCAAGTGTCAAACCATGAGATCCATGTTTTCTGTTCTGACCAGACATGTTTCATCTTGCAGGAGATGGCAGCATGACATGTTGTTAGTTACTTCCCAATCCACTCCTCTTGTTTAAGAATGTCAACACTATCTGCCATTTGAAGGTCTACTCGGGGAGAAGAAGTGTGCTATTCTTTATACCAAGAGTTTAACTTGTGAAGGATATTGTTTTTGATGTGCCATTATTTTGTTAAAAGTTTTACCAAAAACCAGCCCCAAAACAACAAGTGACCCAAAAGTCTTCATGGTTTCATGACTAAGAAGGGTTAAGTCCCCTTCGTGTACAGGACAATGCATAAAAAGCAGTTGATTCGCTCAGTACGGTTGCTTAATAGTGCTGGTGGAGTTTACTTTGTAATAGCAGCTGTGCCAATGTCTTTATAATGGGAGCTCTCTCAATTCTATCCATGTATTGTCTTGCCTTGCTCTATATCACCCCTGCTAACTCCTTGGCCTGAATTTCATGTCTGCCTCTTGGTGACTCGGGTGAACCTGTTTAATGATGTTCTATTTCTGTCCGCATGCTGATATTTTGGGAAAGTATGCCCAGTTAGGGAGGAGCGCTGAACAAGAGACAAACAGTATGGGAGAAATTTCCTGTCTGGAGTGCCCTAGAACCAGCAGCACTTGTCATGGACAACTTCACTGTTTTTAAAGCAACTTGTTTGCTGACCCATTCCTGCCCCTGTCTCGCCTAAGGTAGAATTCCCTGGCATTATAGAGGCTGGAAGAGCCTTGTGTTGGGCACACCCCAGGGACAGACTTTCCCTTTAATAGTCTCTTGCTCAAGCCCAGTACCCCATATGTGGTAATTACTTCAGTTTTCAGAACAGTGATAATGGTTCAATTCAGTCTAAACACAATGATCAAAGCTACTTTGCCCTTCATGTGTAATTAGAAAATGCTAATAAAATCTTTGTATGTTCACAATTAAATCAACTACTAATAAGCGATTGATTAATCATGACTACCTCCCTGATAAAATCGGATATGTTCAGCGGAATGTTCGAATCCTGCTGCCAGTAATTATTTAGTCTTTTGTCCATTTTATTTTGCCATCAGAGAGCTGGAAGCACAGGCGCTGCATGCTAATGATGCATGTTTGAGCTGAACTCCAGGACCGTCTGCGCTAGCCCCGCAATGCCAACAGGCTTTATTTTCTCTTCTGCTTTGTTTGTTTATGGTTTTGTACACCCCGAGCTCCCCACCCCCCTTCACTCTTTGAGGTTGGGCTCAAGACAGTCCCCACTGGGAACATTTCTCTTTCTTTCTTTTTTTTTTCTCTTTTTTATTTTGCTCCAGGTGGGGTGAATAAAGGTCTGAAGAATTGCAGTGAAAACTTTCATATTTCAGTGTTAATGTACAGAGGAAAAGCTGAACGCAAATCTCAGAAGGGAGTGGGGGGGAGCAGGGGAGACAGGAGGGGGAGCAAGAGATGCTGTACAATAGGGAGGATATAGAGGGACAAATGGGTAAGTGCAAGGAAATTTTATTCTGTTGCAATGAAAGCTTTGTGATGTTTCTGAATGTCCCAGTCAGCTTTATTGCCACTGTAACACATGCAAGTCACACACCAGTATTCTGTAGTAGTATTACATACACACAAAACTCATACTCAAATCAACTTGCATCTTCTAAGCTGTAGGTATGTATTATGCATGCTCACATGCAAAGATAAACACCTCACATGTTTTAAACACTTTATTTTCAAGTTAAAACATAATTTCCACTTAGAATCCTTTTTTTAAAAAGAATCATTGTTTAACTGCAGCAACAATCATGCATAAATGCATATATGCATAAATGCATATACACAAACGAAAAGAAAATCTACAAACCCAGGCAACGCACATGCCTTGATAAATGATAATAAAGTACTCCAGCTTTTGACGCTGCCATCCATTCCAGTTCACCCAAGGCCATCTGCGACGGTTCAGTAGGTTCTAATCCATTACCTGATAAATAGATTTGAAAAATGAATCCTAAGCCAGACGTGGAGTTGCAGCTTTTCTTCCTCTGTCATACATCTGTGTCTTACCCGCAGGCAGCGCAGGGGCATACCCACACAGCACACAGTCATGACTCCAGAGAGTCAGCACGTATACACACGGATAGGGGGCCTAAGCAGAAAAAAAACAAGCTAATGCCCCCCCATCTGCCACTTCCAGATACCCAATTTGAGTTTCTATTTTTGTTAGTGTGTCATTACTGTGTGTGCAGACAGCAAAGTGGTTAGAATTAATAACTTTGTCATGTTAAAAGGCATAAAGACAAACTGGAAGCGAGTGAGTTAGCTACCCTGCATGTACCCAGATGGCCTGTGTGTGTGTATCTATAGCAGCACCTACTCCTCTACCTCCTCTGAACCAACGTCACCATTACTGATGTTCAGGCCAGCCCGGTCCCCATTGATTGTTATTGTTCCATGCTGTTTCACATTAGCATGAAGTCTTTAACCTCTGACCGGCATTGTCCTGACTCTGTTTTTCTGCCATTGCTCATGTCAGAGGGGACACCGAAAGGGAAGGCATGATCATTAACCTCTGTCAGGGAAACACACTTTTTCGTTTGTCTGACAAAGCCCGTTTACGCCCCTAATTGGACTTAATGTGAGCACTGAAGAAAGGAAGGTTTTTATTTAAATGGCCTGCATTCTGCAGTTGACTTGAGTATGCAGTGAGAGAGAAAGCAAAGAGAAACTGATAGAAAGCAATATCAGAATTAGTCTTTTGTTTTCTTGCAGGCTCAAATCAAATTGCTGCCTCTTAAACGCTTACCATATCAACCAGGGGATCCCCGCTGTTTCCTTCTCATCCATTACCTGCAGAGAGCATTGATTTCTGTAGGGTGTAAATATGCGCTGCATTGTTTTATTTGGTAGTTGGTTTGTTGTTGATTTTTCTTTTCTTTTTTTTATTTGGATTTTTGTTCTTTTTACTGTATTCAGACCTAAAGCATTTTTGTGGAGACCTGGTCCAAGCGCAAAAATATGGCTCTTCTTTGAGTATATTATTGTCAGAAAATGTTTTGTAAAAATTTTGATGATGATATCAGAAATAAACATCTAAAGATGGGAGTTGTGATGTCTTGTTTACCTTAATATACTATATTGTAACTTGCATTGAACAGGAATTGTATAGATTTTTACCACATTTTTTTACAACGTTAGCTAGCTACTTAACTCAGCCTGTGAACACAGCTGTATTGTAGACAGTATAATGTTCTCTTTCTCTTTATGAAGGATCTTTCTAATTTTTTTCTTTTCTGCACTCTAAGGAAATAACCACTGATGATGTCAACAGGGTCATCTCTTTTAATGGCAATCCTGAATTATACACGCAAATGTTTTGAAAGACACCTTATCAGGCTGCTCTGTCAGAACAATAATGCATTATGGGTAGTGTTTTTGGAGCTTCTCTGGCCTAAAAGTTGTCATCCTTGTTAAAATGAAAAGATTTCGTGAAAATTGTTTCGTTTTAATGATCCAATCTGTAACATTTAGGATCTATTGGCAGAAATCAAATATAAAATATATGTATAATAAAAATATGTTTTTATTAGTGTATAATCACCTGAAAATAACAATTATGGGCCTTTTATGCCTTCATGTTATGGTAACAGTTGAAGATGGACAGGAAAAAGGGGCAAGGGACAGGGGACAACATGCAGCAAAGGGCCCCTGGCTGGAATTGAATCCTGGCTGCTGTAATAAGGACTGAGCCTTAGTACATGGGGTTTGTGCTCTAACAAGTGAGCTATTGGGGCACACTGACTGCCATGTTTCTGCCATAGCATAGAACAGACAAACCAAACACTGACTTTAGATAGGGCCTTTGTCGTTTTTTGTGAGTTTAACGGCCACTGTAGTTTCTCCTACATGCTTGAAAGGCAAGTGGTATTCAGTTGGTTGCAATCTGCAATTTCACCACTAGATGCCACTAAATCCAACACACTGGACCTTGAAGAATTATTGCCATTCGTTGTACTCAAACTCAAATGTAACGTGCAAGGGTGATCACAGTGCTGAACGAGTGGGTACTGTCACAGGTAGTACTGCCAAAATGTTTCACTGTTAGGTCTAGGGTATGCACTTAGCATGTGGTAATTGAATCAATAATTGAACATACGCTAAAGGCCTTCCGTTGACAGCAGGAAAAAAAAAAAGCAGGCCTTACCTGAACCACTGTGAGGTCGTCTAGCTCCCCCCTGTCCTTCCACTCATTATGACAGGATGGATTTGGGCTTGGTGTCCCCTTCTTGTGATGCTTGGTGTTTCCTTGTCCGTCAAGGTATGAACAAAAAAGTAGATATTTGCTATCATTAAACACCCATGCATCTCTACTCTCCTCTCAATGGCATTTCCCCTCAGATGGGCTCCTGTCAGGCAAGAATTCTTGAAGCTTGGCAACCAGTAAATGATTTTCAAATTTCAACTTTTAGACACGAAAGTATCAACACCAAATTGGAGAATGGGAACAAGATTCTCATTCATCAATCCCAGAATCCCAGTGTTCCCACATTTCAGCTAGGACATGCAGTGGCTTACAGTGACTGATGCAACCATCCACAACTGCATCTCTGCTGTTGTTGAAAATTAGCAGATCCTCCACATGTAATCATGCTGTAAATTTGACTTTGTGTGGTTCTTCACCACAAGTATTACATGGACAATGACTGATCATTCAATAGCATTTGATATTTCACGAATATGACCTTTCATAATGAATGTTGGGTTCATAGCATGAGGTAATTCACTGAGAAGACAGAATAGTTTCCAATTAAGGACTGGGTCAATGATGGGAATTTTTACAATTACAGTAGATCACTGAGCAGAAGATTGCAAGAAGAAATAAAAGAATTCCAAAGAAATAAGCAATATTCACTGGAACAAGTTGATTATGCTTAATTAAATGTCTTACCCTCTGCACTGTCTACAGATACAATACTAACTTTCTTTTTTTGTTGATGATGATTTAACCTGAAAACACTGATGGTAAAATAAACTGGCCTCATTGGTTTATCCTGCAGTTGTTCCTACGCTCTTTTTAGGAATTTACAAACTGTTTTTTTTTTTTTACATAAAGACTCTTTAAATGTCTTATTGTTGAGGCAGATCTTGTTTATTTTGTCTGTGAGCTTCCCTGCTGTCTTCTCAATTTCTCACTCTAAGGATTTCCTTGGCAAATTGTGCCACAATTGTGTTGGGAAAGACTCTTTTCAGCCATAGTAAGATAAGATGTCAAACATTTTTGAAATGCAAATTCTGCTGTGCTGGACTGTAACAGACAAGTTAAAGACATTTCAACACTCATCCAAACATCTAAACAAATTCAAAGTAATGAGTGTAATCTGGACCTTTCACTATCTGCAGGACTGCAATCAGAGTCCAAAGAGAGGGAACAAGTCCCACTCAGCAAGCTTTGACAGCCTGTGGTTAGCCTGACTTGGGTTTCCTCAAAATAGCAACACGATCCACAAAGAACACTATAGGAACAAGAAACACAGACCACACTGGGAGACGCATTGTGATCTGTGATCACACTGTGACAGTCCCTTCACAATGTGGTAGGATATTGTCCTCCCTTGTAGCTGGGGTTTCTGAGAAGTTCCACACAACATTCTGGTGTTTTTCAAACCTGCCAGCATGCTGAACTCTCCAGGCTCATCAATGGTCTTCATACCAAAACCTTTTCTGAGCTGTAGTGTCTATGCTGTTCTGTGCAGTGAGAACCACACATAAGAACAAGAAACAAAATATTTAGTTAGAGAAGACCTTTGTAGAGCTGGAGCAAAACCCCCTCAGCAGATGTCCTGATTTTGTTTTATATTTTTGAAAATAAAATAGATAAAAAAGATGTAATAATTTTTGCGTTGATTGTACCCACAGGTAAGTAAATTATACCTGGGTCATCCACACTCACAGTTTGGTATAGCTCTAAAAACTACAGTACTCGTGAGCTTGTTAGAGGGCCAGTGTGTAGGATTTAGTGGCATCTAGTGGTGAAGTAGCAAATTGCAAAGTAACTGAACATGCTTGTGACTGAATTTCTGACAACCTGGGAATGAGAATGGGCTCTGAAGGAAACTATGGTGGCTGTTAAACTAACGAAAAACAGAAAAGGCCCCATCTACTGCCACTGTTTTGTTTGTCCGTTCTGGGCTACTGTAGACATGGCGGACTCTATGAAAGGTGACCCGCAGATTCTGTAGATAAAAACAGCTCATTCTAAGGTAATGATAACGATTCCTATATTCAGGTGATCATACACTAATGAAAACACACCAATGAATATGATATCATTTCTGCCAATAGATCCTCTTAAATGTTACACACTGGACCTATAAGGCCATGCTACGGACATAAAACCAGACACAAAAATCATAGCTGTAGCAAATTCAGAATGCTGTGTTGCTGCAATCAGACACAAAATGAATTATTGTGGTCTCAGAAATGTATCCATAATTGACCCAGAAACTACAGAGGTGCCAACTCCTCTTAATAAGACATGAACTCCCCTGAAAACATGTTTTGTGAAATTTTGGGGGGTCTCTTTATGTATGAATTTTGTAAAATGCATGCATTCTATTAGGCTGTCTAATCATGAATCATGCATAAAAAATTGTATTGATGTATGTATCTCATTAAGTGATTATTATATATCAGATGTGCTGACATACAGCAAGTCTACATGATTGCAGCTATGAATGTTAGCTGCCCCCCCCCACAAGTAAAAAAAGTGAGCTCCCCTGAAAGCCACGGTATAGTTTGCACACTGCTCAGAAACAAAACATGACAGATGAAAATATGAATGAAAGAAGTTCCCATAAGCATCAAAAAATGCCACTTCATACTTACTGAAAATCACCTTGCTGCAATGATGTAGAAGTGTGATCATCAAAATACTGAACAAGCACAGGCTAGGAGAAAAAAAAGTTAAGAAAATTCAAAGAATGTGGCCACATAACCTACATTTCAGAGTTTGTGTTTATTCTATAAACTTTCAGGGGACTGCGCTGTCACACAAACACTTGGAGTAAACTTGACGAATGCAGCTGACTTGTTCTGAGTGAACCAAATACCCTCAGCGAAGGAGTACCGTCAGTGTCACAGAGATGGGAGATCTGTTTGCTTCAGCCTGCTGTCACTTCACATGCACACATCATGTCATCACCGTTGTAGAGGAACATGACAGGGCCGCTCACAGTCCGGCTCACAGCGGTTTTCAGGACATGAGGTCTTGCTATCTTTTACTTTTCTCCTCCACTGATCACACACCCTCTGGAATGTCGTCAACACAAACGTCAAGAATCCAGTACTTACTCCTTCAAATGGTTAAACCTGTAGGTAGGTACCTATCAGTTAGGTGACACATTTCATGGTTACCTTGAATGCTAATGACATTGGTAATAGCTCTAGAACATACTGCCATTAATGAAAAGGAAAAGTTAGATAAGAATACACATTTCACTTACAATTCAGTACTAATTATTATAAGCTGAAATGTCAACATTTATCCATTTTTGCACAATAAAAACATAACCAAAGTGTGCATATATATCAAAGGCATTACGAGACACTGTAAAAGATATGCTGAAATGCTCTGAGCAGCATCATATCAAAATACACCAAATTGCTATGCTTTGGAAGGGTACCAGCTTTTCCTCTGCAAACACACACCTTATCTGAAAGGTTAAAAAAAAGGTCTGACATGGCCGAGGGGTCAGCCTCTTTCAGCTGATTGCACACAGCCCACCTCATCTCAGTCTGTGTGAAAAAGCCCGTGGCTGGTGGTTGATTGGCCAGGTCAGGTGGCTTGGTAAGTACGCAGCGCCTGATTCTCAGTGACCTTTAAAGCAGTGTGATGGTGGTGTGGGGCTGAAATTCTCGACTGGAAGGGAGTGGAAAATTCATGGGTTTAAGACACTCTGAGGTTGTTTCTCAGTCTTTTGCAACTGTAACTCTATCTCCCTTTCTTTTTTTAACCAGGCAAAGATGTCTATGGCACTGCTATCCCTACATCTACTGTAAGTAATGGAGTGCCTTGGGGATATAAAATGTCTTGTCCTTATACAACC